TGCTTGTGCACTCTCTCGTGCTCTCTCTCTCAATAAATAAATAAACCTTTAATTTTTTTAAAAGATTTTATTTATTTGACAGAGAGATACACAGTGAGAGAGGGAACACAAGCAGGGGGAATGGGAGAGGGAGAAGCAGGCTTCCCGCTGAGCAGGGAGCCCAATGCATGGCTCAATCCCAGGACCCTGGGATCATGACTTGAGCCGAAGGCAAACACTTAACAACTGATCCACCCAGGTACCCCAATAAATTAATCTTTTTAAGAAGAAAGATTTTATTAAATGATAATTTAGGAAATAAGGTAAAAATACATTTTAAAGGCAGTTAATCATCACAAATGCTTACAAAGGGAATCTATTTATGGTGATCAATAAGCATTATGAACTTATGCTTTAAATACACACACACAGACACAGACACTCACACACTCACCCTACTCCAAACACATAAAATGTTATGATCATGGTCAAAAGCAATATCTAGCCTCCAAGGACCAGAAAAAAGAACAAAATTGCTCAGTGATAAATGGGAACTAAAGCCACATACCTGGTAGGCTCTGAGTCCAGAAAGAAGTAAAGATGGCTGGGAGTCCACTGTAATGGGTATCAGGGAACAAATGGCCTGCAGCCATGGCAGGAAACTGAGGATTGACTTCACTGAGTGAAACCAACTGGGAAAGCAAGAAGAGCTTGCTCACCCATGAGAAAGGAACTTGAATAAAAACAGCCACTGACCAGAACTATGACTTGTACTTGAGTGATTCTTTCCTTACTAAATACAAATTATGGAAAACCCACAAAAGCACTTAAAATTAATTTTGAAATAATAACAGGATAACTAAGAACAGTGGCTATTCAAAAGAGCCAATACCAACTAGACATCCTGGATATGTAAAATATAGTCAGTGAAATAAACACTCTATAAATGGGAAAAACCCAAAACTGGATGCAATAAGAGAGAGAATTAGGAAATTAGAAGACATCAGAATGAATTTACCTAAAAAGCATTGCAGAAATATGAGAGAATAAAAAATATGAAAGATACATGGTTGATAAATTGAGAGATGTCAACATAGGTCTAGAGGGGAGAAAAGAGACTGCTTAGGAAGACCACTTGAAGACATATTGCCTGGGAATGTTCAGAATTAAAGAAATAATATCTTTGAAGACACACAATGAATATGAAATAGGATTATTTAAAAGAAATTATAACCTAGAAACTTCATGGTACAATTGCAGAATATCAGAGATAAAGAGAAAAATATTTTAAAAGCTACTGGGAGACTAAAGACAACTTCTGCAAATGACAGCGTAGCCACAGATGTCTTCTCAGTAGCAATAAATGCCAAAAGAAAATAAAGTGATATATTCAAATTGCTGAAGGAAAATGATTTTCAATTCAGTATTCTATGCCCAGCTAGGTTATTGTTCAAGAGTGAAGGATTTTTATATTTTCAAACATAAAAATCTAGAAGAGTTTGCTATTCACACAGACTGTTATGAAAGAACTTTTAAAGGATATACTTGAGCATGAAACTGGGAGAAGGATGATCTGAAGCTAATAAGAAAAACACAAAAATAAAATATATTGTAAATTTCCACTGTCATGAGAAAAGCATTCATCATGAAAGCAAAGATTTCAGCCCTCTCTTTTTTTTTTTTTTCAGTCATAGCACCTTATATGATCTGCTGCGTTAGCCATTATAGTCATGGGTCTGTTCTTAATGTCTTGCTTATGTGAAAATTTTCATGATATCATTAGAAACTGAAAAAATGTGACATCAATTAAATATTTGTCATTCAGAATGAATAATCCCATCAGTTCTACTAAAAAAGACTCCACAGAATTATAGATTTGCACCTCAGGAGTGCTTAATCACCCTGTCGCTGATGACATGAGGAAACCTTCACTGTCAGGAGATTATTTATGCTTATGAACAATGAACAATTTTTAATATAAATTTGTAAGACTCTTTTGAATATGAGGCTTTTTCAGGGGTCCGCAAGATCACCCACATGTTCTGTGATCCACTAGAAAGACTCACAAGACTCAGCATGTAGTTCTACCCACAGCTAAGATTTACTACAGTGACACAGCAAGGAGGTATAGTCAGAGCAGTAAGGAAAAAAGATACCTATGGGACCTGGAGAAATCTATGTGCAGGCTTCCTATGCTTTCTCCTTGTGACAGATCATGCAGAGTACACTCTCATCCAAGCAACAAAAATGCCCAGGGAAGCCCATTAAAGATTCAGCACTGAAGGCTTTTATTGGATTGGTCATAGAGACATCCTCTGTCTAGCAACTATAAAAATTCTAGATTCCCCAAAGAAAAACAGGTGTTTAGGCCCTGGGTGAGCAAAACAGTCTTGTTGCTTAGTGAAGCTCGTGTCGGTGTAGGGAACTGTTCACCAGCCAAATTCCCAGATGATAAGTGAGACCAACCTTGCAAGCAGGCCGCTCTGAGACAGCAGCCTGAAGCCGTGTATGTTAACTCTCTTCTAGAGCCCTATTTCCTTAACTGTAGTTTTCATTGCTTTTCCTATTACTTTCAAAAGCATGTACAATTGACCCTTGAACAACACAGGTTATTCACTTATATGTGAAACGCATGGGTCCACCTACGTGTAGATTTTTATCAATAAATATATTCGAAAACTTTTTAGAGATTTGTGACAATTTGAAAAAAACTCACAGACAAACCACATTGCCTAGAAATACTGAAAAATAGTAAGAAAAATGTATTATTGGAAGTATACAGTACATAATATATATAACATACAAAACATATGTTCATCAACTGTTCACAGTATCAAGAAGACTTCCGGCCAACAATAGGCTATTAGTAGTTAAGTTTTGGGGGGGAGTCAAAGTCAAAGGGTTGGTGCTCCTAACATCCCACGTTGTTCAAGTTTCAACTGTAGTTCAATTCGTTTTCTTATTTTACAAAATGTCATGTCATATGGAAAAATTATAAAATCTCTCAAGATAATTTCATTGTAATATTTAGAAAGGACATCTATGGCTTTGCTTCTTTGAATGTTGGATAAATCTATATTGTGTGCCTAAGAGTTCCTGAGTTTCAACAGGATGTGCACTGATTATACTCTGCAATCACAGTATGAAAACACATCTATGGGGAAAGAAAATCATTCTTATTAAAAAGGAAGCCTGGAGAGCATAAAATATGGTTTTGTGTAGATTTTAATCTAAGGAATAGCATGCAAAAGGCATAGGAGGTACCTTATATAACTTAATTCTTTCGAGTTGTCTATTATACATGTAGCTCCCTAAAAACAAACCACCCCCATCTTTATCATTTTTTAAGAATAATGAACTGTAAGATTATTATGAGTACTTCTGGAAACACAAAAGGGAAAAAGCCAATCAGTAATCTGACAGACAATTTAGGGAAAATAACTCTATGTAAATTACCTATACTTGAGCACACTAGCCTGAGTTATTATTTGAGCTCTTATTTTGAAACAGAGTGCACTTAGGAAAATCAATACAGCATAACGGGTTTTATCTTTTGTTTTCTCTACAAAATTTATTATGAATTTCTGTAGCCATGTATCCTGCAAAGTTTTGTCAACACACACACACCACGTACAGACATGTTTCTATTGCTTTGAGGGTGATTATTTCTGGATTACACTATACATCAGCAAATTATCTGATCCTTATCTTTAGGACTGGTATCCATCTGTAATACCACATTCATGAGAATACACAAAACAAGAAAATTGTTATATAAGTAGAATGTTATTTTATGAACAAAGAAACCAAATAAAAAAGTATGTCACAAAATACAAATGTATTGCATGAAACCGAGACCAGCAAATATTATGTAAGCAAAATCCAATTACCCCTTACAGGCATACCTTTGTAAAGAGGAAGATTTTGTTACCTAAAAGTCATTTTGAAGGCATATCTGTGAATTGAAATTACGCATGCTATCTCTGTACCCTGTTAGCTAGCTAATCACATGAGCATAATTAACCTCATTATACCAGTGAACAAAAATGTAGCTTAGTAGACTGACTAGAACCAATGATTTATAGTCACTGAAAGCTAGACCAGTCAATACAGTTGTGGGTTTTTCTCTTAAGACATTAAGCAGATGGGTTTAGCTGAGATGGTTGTTTAGCTAGACAAGTATGACAAAGAGAGCATAGCGCAACATAATGATTTTAATGTCGCATGAAAACTGAGTGAGAAAAAAAGACACTAAAGGGTGGTAAGGTTGACAAACTGGATGCCTCAGTGAAGATTTTCTAAAAATGACTGGGTTGGAGCTGTTGGGTTACATAAAATGTCGGTAATAGAGGAGGTGATTGGGGTGTGCTTAAGATAACAAACCCTGTCATGGGCATCGGTATCTGAGGAGAGAAGTGAAGATCATTGGAGATGAAGTACTGACATCACTTACACGAAGATGACTTCCTAGTCCTAGTAACAGAAGTAAGTGTGACAAGAAAACGTTCACTCAAGTGCTGGTGGCTTATGGAAGGGAATGAACTTCAAAGTAACAAGTGACAGTCCTATTTGCCTGACTCCTTCATAAGTCCTTGTGAGAACCAAATGAGATATGGCCTGGGAAAGCACAATAAACCCATTTTTTAAAAGGGGTAAGAAGTAGTACTACACACACACACACACACACGTGTGTGTGTGTGTCTGTGTTTGTATGTATAAATATATATATGTAAGAGCCCTGAGTTTTACCACTGCTTTGTGCCCTGCTTTCTCTGCCTACAAAAGAAAGACAATGATCATATCTTCTCCCGCTTCATGGGAGATTAGAAAGTTAAGTGACATGATCTATATGAATTTGTTTTGAGTTTTTCTGTTTCGTTTGAGTCTTTGGAAAAAGAAAATGCTTTCTCTGGCCTGAGCTGAGAGTCATTGTTCAGCTCTGGAAAGTTCTGTACAGCATGCTGGCACTGTGGATGGCACCCTGAGTGTCAAATAACATTCTTCCCTTCCTTGGATTTCAGACATTTCAGCAGTCCTCACTGCAGCACAAATCAAAGAAGAAAAACAAAGGTAGGAAAAAGAAATGAAATCTATAGCTGTTTAGTTTGCACTGTGATAATCACCAGCATACTTCACGCAAACTCTCTTGCCTGAGCCCATGGTGGTTTGGAAGATCACAACCCCCTAGCAAGAACTGCCAAGACCAGCTTCTCTTTCAAGTCAATTATGATGAAGGGGCACCATTTACAATAAGAGGTCTCGATGGGTTTTGAGACTGGGATTACACACTCCTGACTCCTTTGCATGTCACTTAGGTGGGGGGGGAGGTACTAAAGATTTCCATAGTTTTCTATTCTGATAAAATATAAAAATAAGAATTTTTAAGGTTATTAAGTACCCAGACTTATCTTTTGAGCTATAGACTAATCTTCTACCTTCACACCTGTATGAAATTTAAAGAGCATTTTTACCTACTATGATCTTTAGGTCCTATAGCTGGCAAGAGCAAAAGACGAATTTCTTGCAAAGATCTTGGCCGGGGTGACTGTGAAGGTTGGCTTTGGAAAAAGAAAGATGCAAAGAGTTATTTTTCACAGAAATGGAAGAAATATTGGTTTGTCCTAAAGGATGCATCCCTATACTGGTATATTAATGAGGAGGTAAGTAAGACAAAACACACTTTGTTTTCTTATCCATTTTCTGTCTTTAATCCAAAGAACCACCATTTGGGGACTTACATTTTAAAATCATATAACCACCTTAATTTCAATTCAGGAGAGTTCCACTAGTTATTTTTTAATCTGCCTTCTTAAAATGATTGCATTTTAGGGTTATGGAAAGAGTTGTCTCGATTATTCAAATGTGGCAACATATCTAAAATACAACACAGATAAAATTCTGTGTATCTAATTCAAAATTCCAAACTAATTCTAGTGATAGCTTAACTAGAAGGATTATGCATGGAATTTGAAATAGATTTTTAAATGTCTCAGTTTTGCTCGAGGTTTTAAATTTTTTTTCTGTTTTCTTGGAGGAACAAAGTTCTTTAATAATTTAAGTAAATTAATAGCACTTGAATTTGTTTTTCTTAAAGAAAATGTGAACTAGAAGACTAGCTTTAAAAATCTGCAAGTATTCATTTCATTTGGCCCAATTGAGGGGTGGGGGAAAGGGGGTGTATATAGTATATTTAGATTGTTCTTATGATTTTCTGTTTCATTTGCAGTAAACAGATATTTATCCAGAGTAGTTATATCATAACCTACCACCTATCACAACAGATATGCAACAGTATACCTTATTTGTTGACATTTCTTTGACTCTGCATTTATTTTCATTCTTTTGCAATAGTTATCTATCAGTTCACCTTAGTAAGATTTTTTAACAATAATTTCTATTGTTAACTTGTTTTCTCAAAAAATGGACATGGTTTAGTAGAGTGTGCTAGCTAAATAAATAAATGTTAGGACATTCATCAATTTGCATTTGAAGATTAATTTTTGAAATATAATTTAACAACATAATTATGCTTATTACTATAACAAAAAATGTCTAGAGGAGTTATGTTTGTCATGGTTAAGAGAATAGATTTAACCCATCTGAGTTATGATGCATCAGTTTCCTCAACTACAAAAAGGGAGAGTAATAACAGTACCTAGCTCACTGTGCTATCATATGGATGAAATGAATCAGTTCATGTAAAGCCACTTAGAACAATGCCTGACATACACCCAGTACTCCGTAATATGCTGTTAGTAATATTTTTCAAATTGACCTCATATTTCATTTGTAAAATCTTAAAGTAACATTTTGCTATCAATATAAATGCCAATATTATATAGAAGGATTTGGTTATTTTCTGTGCTTTTGATATTATTTGTGCCAATCAATCATACAATTACATAAAAAGCCTTCTATTTCACTAAGTGTATCTTATTTTATATATAAAAAACAATTTTTCCAATATTTTCATTTAACATCTATCAAATACTTTTTGTATGCCAAACAAAAAGTTATCAAAATATAGTCTTCATTTCTCTTTAAGTTCACTTGTAGATTTGTCTGCTGTATGCTATATTATATTCTTTCAAAGTGTAAGTGAAAAAATATAAGACTCTTTTATATTGAACAGTAGCTAAGTTTCATTTAGAGTTGTTACTGTGTTAGCCTTGTGAGAAGTGAATGAATAATTCCATAGTATGCATAATAAGAATACCAGCGTGCTTTTTTAGGAGAAATGTAAAAATCCCTCATCACATCATTAGGGGAAGATACTATCTATCCCAAAATTATTTTAAATCGTTCAAAATTTAGAATTTTAAAGTTAAAGGTATCAAGAGTAATCTAGCAGACATCAAAATTGAAAAAGAGATTTGAAATTATTGCATTCACCTCAAAGTTGGAAGAAAAAACTACTCAAATATTGAAAAATTTGAAAAAGTCATAAACTCTCTTTTTTTATAACATACATTTCAGTCACTATCAGTAATATCAGATTTTTATTAAGTTTTACATTTATACATACATACTGAAAGAATTAAGAATCTGTATTTTTTTTTCTTTGAGATAGCAGATAGGGGTGTAGTATCACTTGAACTTGATATACAAGGAGCCATGAACTGATAACACCACAGATCAGAGTTTGGGAGTAAAATTCCAAGGAGCCTGGTCATGACCATGAAAGGGAAAACAAAAATGAAATCATTTAGCCAAAGGTAGTCTTAACCTAATTGGAATAACTTATATCTAACATAAGATTTTGGATAACTCTCCTATCTCGTTTTTCCTTGCCACATTAGAGGGAGGAGGATTTTATGCATTTCATTCAATTGTCCAAGTAGAAAATGACTTTTATATATATAGCATTCATACCAAGGTAGATATTTGAAGATCAAATTAACTTATTTCATTTATAAAATCTTGAATACACAGCATATTTAATTCAGCTTTGAGAAAAGACTTTTTTAGAGGTAGAAAAGGAATTGAATTAGTAAACTTTGATGTATTTTACATCTGAACATTAAAAATTACAGAAAATTATGAATGGCGAATGTGGACTGAAGTTATTTTATCTGTTATAAAAGTATATATACATTCTGGTGAGAAAATTACTAATAAAACATGTTTCACTTTGACTGTTTAAAGAATTTTCTATTTCTAATGTAAGAAGGATTTTTCAAAATTTTTGTGTATATCTTAATTTGTAGTGGTCTAAATGTTTAAAGTATATCTTCAATTTAATAGAATATAACAAATAACAGTGGGACTCTAATCTCAAAAATGTCAAATTTAAAAATTAAATGACCAGATTTATTAGTATAGATTTTTACAGCATAGTTACATAGTATTATCAGCTTCAACCCTTTGTGTATAATATCCTAAATAAGAGTGTTGCCTCTTTAGGATGAAAAAGCAGAAGGATTCATCAGTCTGCCTGAATTTAAAATTGATAGAGCCAGTGAATGCCGCAAGAAATAGTAAGTTGATTTTATTTGGGGAGAGGGAGAGAAAGGAAGGGTTTTTTTTTTTAATTTCTAGCTTTTAAATTATAGGTTACTTATGTAATGCTTTCAAATTGAGGTAATAAGAAAGCAGTTTGTGGGCAGAAAATTGAGTTTTTTACTGATTTCTGTCATCATGGCAGAAGCATTATATATGTGAACTCAGGTTAGATGTTGAGGTAATTTTACCCATAAAAATTATTGGTTCTAACTTATTTCCCAATTTGAAATAAAATAAGTGTACTTTGTTTCCTTTTGCAGTGCTTTCAAAGCCTGTCATCCTAAGATCAAAAGCTTTTATTTTGCTGCTGAACATCTTGATGATATGAACAGGTAAATGTTACTTTCAAAGCACTTAGAAAGTCAGTTAGGCTTAGAATTCTAAGCTTTTCCACATTAATGTTAGAGAATAATGTCACCATGATCGATCAGTTTAAAATAAAATGGACTCAGGCATAGCTGCATCTAGCCTTAGCTAATTTCAGTGAACAGCATTTTAAAGGTCAAAATGAACCTGTTGACTGTTTATCAAGTTTACAAAAAATGTGCCTGAATCCATATATAGACCCTTAAAAAAAAATCCACTGAAAAAAAAAAAAAAGGTTTTTTTCCAAAGTCCATTTCAAGAATGTGTCTTCAAAGTTATTTCCAGGTGGGGAGAAAAGATAATTACAAAAAAAACCTGACATTTCCGAGTGCTGAGCATTTATGGCACAACATCCATCTCAATTATTCAGTCCTGAGCAAAATTAGTATTTCTTTTTGTCATCTTTCTTCTATCACTGGACAAGATTATACTGCCAAGTGATTAAATGGCAACATGGTTATTTGGGGCTGTTGGAGGGGAGGGAGAAATATATATGTTTTTTTACATATATATATATCTCTGTCATCTATAACATTCTGCACCAGGTTTCCACTTTAACTTTTATGAATTTGATGACGTCTTCCTTTTCCTTCCTTTCCCATCTCTCATTTCTAGACTTCTAGAAATTGGATTTAAGATTCAGATATTTCCTTTTCACAGGTCTTCCATAGGCAGTGCACATGACATATATAACCTACCAACAACTAGGGAGAGGCAGCATAACACAGTGATTAAGAGCATAGACTTTGGAACCAGACTGTCCAAATCCTAGCTCTCGCACTTACTAGCTGTTTGACCTTGGCTATAGAACTGGACCTCTTTATGCCAGGTATTGGCCCCTTTAAAAAATAGTCATAATAACCATCTCCACCCAATGGACTATAGTGAGGAGCAAATGAACACACATAAAGGGCTTAGAACAGTGCCTTTTCAATTATAAGTGCTATTTAAGTGTTTGCTGGCAATATATATTCCTTTTATGTACTTTGGGCTCTTAGCCCATTTACCTTTCTTTGTGTGTCTCCAAAAAATTCGTATCCGTTTTTTTTTTTTTTAAGATTTATTTATTTATTTGAGAGAGAGAGGGAGCAAGAGAACAGGGTGGGGAGGGGCAGAGGAAGAGGGAAAAAGAAAGTTTTAGGCAGACTCCACACTGAGAGGAGAGCCCCAGGTGGGGCTCTGAAATCATGACCTGGGCTGAAACCAAGAGTCAGACATTTAACTGACTGAGCCACCCAGGTGCCCCCAGTATCCAGATATTTTTAAACACAAAATTGTGCAACTTTATAAATGTGCTTAAGCACACTAAATGAACACTTAATATGCTTTTATAAATAATCTTGTGGGTTTTTTTGACACTTGGGAGTAAAGGCACAGTTTGTCCAAAGCAAGAATATGAATACAAGGAAATGACAACACAAGTGTAGAGAACACTTGATAAAATATTTTATTATTAATAAGGGAACTGAATCTTTCTTGTACTTCCCACAATCTTCGTTTGATTTATCTTGCAATTCTTGAAATTTCACATTAGGCAGTTAGAATTTGGAGAGCCTTTTCTCCTTAATTTGTTCTCAAAATGAAAATGTTTATTCACATGGTCATGATGTGGGGGGAAGTTGTAATGCTCTATTTTGTATTTTAATAATGTTATAATTCTACTGTTGTAGTTACTCACTATCTGTTTTATCACATGTTGAGCTCAGTGCCCTTAGGATAAAGATGAAGGGTTTACATCATGACCAAACAGAATTAGTTTTAAAAATGAACATTATCCCATCTTACAAGATGGATACACTAGAACACAATCACCTCTATCTAAGAATTAGCATAACTTAAGTATTTAACAAAACATGTTAATCAGTGTCTTTTTTAGGCATTAAAAAGTGCCTTTTTGGGACACTTGGGTGGCTCAGATGGTTAACCGGCTGCCTTCAGCTCAGGTCATGATCCTAGGATCTGGGGATCGAACCCCACGTCGGGCTCCTTGCTCGGGCTGAGAGCCAGCTTCTCCTTCTGCCTGCCACTCTCACTGCTTGTGCGTACTCTCTCTCTCTCTGATAAATCAATCAATCAATCAATCAATAAATAAATATATTGTTAAAAAGGAAGAAAATGCCTTTTTATAAACTGTAAAACCATTCCTGGTCTCCACTCCCTGCCCTGTGTTAGCAAAAATTTCAAAAGTGTGTCATGTCACTATTCTTCCCTAATACTCCTATGGATGTATCTGGTTCAGGATCTCATAGAAGAAGCTAAACCAAACCCATGTGTTTCATTTTGTTTTTTCTAAGCAATGAGTCAAAGGAAAAAAAAGGATCTGATCAAATATGTCATCTCCATATCATACATTTATGAGTTCTGTTTTATGTGAGCCTTGCTTGGTACATTATAACCTTCAGAACTGCATTGTCCTGAAATACTGAATCTTTTTAAAAATTTAAGTATAATGGACTTTTATTGTTTTTTTTTTCCTTTTTTTTATAACCATATTCCCAATGTCTACTTTGAATAGGCAAGTTTTTAGAAATTACCTGTTAATAGAAAGGAGGAATGCCAGTGCCGGAAATAAACAGAATCAGTGGTGGGAGAGATGTCCCCAACAATTTTTTTCTGTAGCCTGATTGTTAACATAGCAGCAAAATAATCTGGGCATTGTTCATTCTATATACAACCTTTTAAAGGAATGTACCTAAGTCTTCAAGAGATTTTATATGTATAATATTATAATTATGCTAATTATATAAATATGAGCTTTATCTGGTTATTTCTTGATTTCTAAAGTACTAGCGTAAGTATTTTAAAAGTATAGTGATTTCTGACATACACATACCCAAATTTACATATAACTATATAACCATTCATACATATACCCAAATTTACATATACCTATATATATACATACATATACATATACCAAAATGTATGTATATATACATATATATATACACATGGAATATTAAAATCTCACCTTCTATTTTCTGAGCAGCTGTAAGTTTGATTGTGAGGTAATTTGCAAAAACACTTTTGAGGCCCCCACCCCCATCCATCTGTTTCCTCCTCAGAAATGAGCACTGAAACATGAAAAAAAAAATTGCCAGTCTTTGTGAAATCTGTGGGAAGGAAACAAAATATCATGTTTCTCAAGTATTCTGAGACTTATTTACTGAATTCATTTGGCGTATATATTCCTTATCATGTCAGCACATATGTCCTTGCAATTGTGAGGATTCATCCATTTCTATTTGGTAATTACTATTTGTACATTTCTCCCATAATTCTTACTCAGCTTTTTCCTCTCAATACATTATTCTCAGTTATTGACAACTTAATGAGAATGTTCACTTCAGGCTCAATATCCCTATCCCCTTACCTATATTGTCTTGTTTTAAAACATTAGTATTACAGTAAGGTGCTGAATGTAGACCTAGTATTAAAGCACTTCCCCATCACTAAATTCAATGCTTGTATCCCCAACCAGTTTTTCTTAAAATAGCCTCCCCCCATTCCTAGGACCTTTGACTTTCTAATTTTTTTACCTAGCTGTTTTTGTAAATGGCACTTGATACTAACTTGACATATGTTTATTTGTATTCCTATTTATTGTCTGTTGCCTTCATTAAGATGTAGGCTCTGGGAAAGCAGACACTTCGTTTTGTTTCTAGCTGCATCCTTGGTGCTTGGAACAGGACCTGGCAGACATAGGTTCTCATTAAATATTTCTCAACTCTGTTAATGAATATATATCTCCTGTTATCATGGCCTTACATACCAAATTATACTGCAACACGTATATACGTAAGCCTCTTCTAGCTGAGGCCTTAAGGACAAGTTTATCCAAGACAGCACCAACAGCTGTGTAGTGTTCAGCCTTTTGTGTGTGTAGACACTGGCCTGAGTAAGCCACACACTTTCTGAAGAGTTTTTATCACGAACTGAATTTTTCTTCTGAAAGGTAGTCAAATTTTTCAATTGTCTTCTGACATTTAGCAATTCTGGAACTCACTGAAGGCAGGAATTATGTCTTACTCATTTTTGTGCCCCTAAAACATAGCTCATTGTTCAGCATATATCAGGCATTTAGTAAATTTGTTGCACTGAAAAATCAAGGAAGCTTCTTTTTAGTTTTCTGATTCATCTCATAAGGAATTCATTGTTCTTTAAACTTCTGACAAAATGAAATTTTAGTGATGTCTTTTAAAATAGTCAGTATGAAGTACTGGATTAAAATCTAATAATACATGTTCCTCTAGTGCTATTATCATCATTTTCACCCAAAAAGCATCAGGCAGGTCTTTCTTAAGAGTGCTGAAAATTGCCCTGTAGTACAAATTCAACACCTTTCTCACTACAAATGACCTATAGACTAAATTTCAATTTTGACCTTTTCTTAGTGATTAGAGTCATTTTTTAAAGGTTATTCATCATGAAGTTGACTTCTTATCATTTGTAATTTTCTAGAGTGTGGGAGTATATGCTACTGAATTTATTTGATCAATCTTTATTTTATTCCCTTTCTGTTCCAGTCCCTTCTTCACTTCCCAAAAATACTTGAGGTGATAATTACATTGTAATTATCAAAGTAAAGTTGAGCTTTAGGTGACTTGTTCTTCAAATTAAAGTTCAAATATCCATGGAGGTGATTTTGTCAGTGAAAGACACAACTTTCTTCCCTTTTCAAGATATTCTAATAGTCTTCTACACAGTGAATACCACTGGGCATAAATGCTGAAATATATGACTTACTTCAAAGCACATCATCTTCCATCTGACACAGGAGATAAACTTTTAGGAGAAAAAGTTCTCAAACACCATTTTTTCTTAAAAATATATCTTGATCAGATTATTCCACACTTTAATGATGTTAACTATACTATTGTTTCCAAATTAAGATAGTTTGGAAGGGGGGGGGGTTCTTCCTTAATTTCTGATTTGAGAAAGTATATGGATCATAGCTCAGAACGGACCAGTGGGAAATTGCTAGGTTAATTTAAAGATTTTATGATTCAATAATCTGATGCAGTGTAAACAGCCAGAATAATGAACACAGGGAGAGATCTGGTGGGACAAAAGATGGCGACTGAAACGATGCAGGCTCCTACACTGGCAATAGCAGCACTACTGAGAGAGGGAAGGTTTATTTTTAAGTTACTATTGTTTGTGGAAATAAATGTGCAAAATCCGAACAGAGGTTAAAATTATGTTTGTTCATTTAGAAAACCTAATACCCTTGTATTTAGAGACACATTTCCAAAGTACTCTTGACGTGTTTTCCCCTGGATCATTAAACTTAAATAACCTTCATCAAAACTAACATTTCATAATAAAACTTATTTTGACAAGCAAGGTTCATAGCTTCCTCCCTCATCAGTATATATTGTATGATATTAAGTATCTGTAAAGGAGCATTTGTTCTGAAGACACAATCAGCAGTGATATTTGGAGTGCTTCTGAATTTGGAGCAACAGAATTAATAGGGCTCTGATCATCGTAAAACCCTCTATATTATAGATATGAAAAGGTTTGCCTAAGACTTTTCTATCAAAATAGCATCTTTAGTTTGGGAACAATTTGTACTACAGCAAATTATAGCTCATTGAAGACTCCATGTGTCAAGAGTAGCAAAGAACACATCTTTTACATAGAATTATCTCATATATTCTTAAACATCTTAAAATAAATATTTTTATTACATTTTGGAATTTGGGGGCACCTGGGTGGCTCGGTGAGTTAAGCATCCGACTCTTTTTTTTTTTTAAGGTTTTATTTATTTATTTGACAGAGAGAAAGAGATCACAAGGAGGCAAAGAGGCAGGCGGGGGGGTGGGGGAGCAGGCTCCCTACTGAGCAGACAGCCCAATGCGGGGCTCGATCCCAGGACTCTGGGATCATGACCTGAGCCGAAGGCAGAGGCTTTAACTCACTGAGCCACCCAGGCGCCCCAAGTGTCCGACTCTTGATTTAGGCTCAGGTCGTGATCTCAGGGTTGTGAGATCGAGACCCTCGTCAGGCTCCATGCTGGACTTGGAGTCTGCTTAAGATTCTCTCTTCCCTCACCCTCTGTCCCCCCCTTCCCTCTCTAAAAATGATTTTTTATTTTAATTCCTATATAGTTTTATGTTGTTCCTGTATAGTTAGTAAAATAGTAAAATAAACATTATTTTAATGTTTTTATTTTAATTCCTATATAGTTAATATACTCTCTTATTAGTTTCAGGTATACAATGTACTGATTCAGCACTTCCATACATCACCCGGTGCTCATCATGACACGTGCACTCCTTAATCCCCATCACCTATTTCACCCAGCATGCCTCACTCCCATCTACCTCCACTCTGGTAACCATAAGATTGTCCTCTAGAGTTAAGAGTCGGTTCCTTGGTTTGTTTCTCTCTTTTTTCCCCTTCATTCATTTGTTCTGTTTCTTAAATTCTACATATGAGTGAAATGATATGGCATTTGTCTTTCTCTGACTGACTCATTTCACTTAACATAATAACACTCTAGCTCCATCCACGTTGTTGCAAATGGCAAGATTTCATTCTGTTTTATGGCTGAATAATATTCCATTGTATATATACACACATCTTTATTCTTAAAATAAGTATTTTTAAGAAGTAAAATATAAGAAATTAAGTTGCAATGTTACTGATTTTAATTTTTTTTTCAGATGGCTTAACAGAATCAATATGTTGACTGCGGGATATGCAGAAAGAGAGAGGATTAAGCAAGAACAAGGTAAAGGGATATATATACTTGTTTTACAGTCGTAGGGTTTTTGTTTTGTTTTGTTTTGCTGTTATCCTATGCAGTGATTCACTACTGTCATTTGAATGAACATGGATATGTCAGGCTGTGGTTATTGTTTTCTGGGCACTTTGAATCCAAACCATAGCATCTTATAGGTAAGGTTTAGTAAACTAAACAATAGGGAATAAACTGAAATTTTTTGAGCTCCTAGTGTGGAGTTTGTTGTTATCTCTCTCAGTCTATTTCCAATGGAGGAAAAAACCTTTAAAAGTCTGTAATTGGTCCTAAATATTGACCAAAGTTCAGGTACTTGCTGGTGCATTGTTTTTTTCTGTTTAGCAGTTTCATAGACAGTTAAGTGGACTTTCATGCAAAAAGCTCAGATGGATGACCCCTTCTTCCATAAATTATCTCAACTGTGGTTATGTTCTTCAGTCATCTTCATCTGTTACTCTGTGATCTAATGGAACTTGCCTCAGTATTGACCTCAGATTTACAAAAGACAATGTCATTATGTAGAATTAAAATTTTACTGAAAGTTGTAGTCACCATTCCGAAGTTGCTTTACATTTCCAAGAAGTATTTATTGTACGCCCTTGGAAGAATCAACAGGTTTTGGAAATCTTTTGAGACTTCCTCAAATCAAAGAAATTCTGCAGATTACATATACATATATATGTACATATGTATATATATGTATATGTACATATATATGTATATGTAATCTGCAGAATTTCTTTGATATATATGTATATATATGTATATGTATCTGCAGAATTTCTTTGGTATATATATAATATATATATGTATCTGCAGAATTTCTTTGGTATATATATATATATTTCTTTGGTACACATACACACACGTGCACATACATACACAAACACATTTCTAGTTGTGTCTCCAGTGGGCATTGCCTATTTGTTTATGTGGAGATCCTAAAAACCTTCTGTTTCCTCTCAGAGTAAAACCTCAGCCAAAACTTTTCTAAACATCTAAAAGCTAAAAGTTAGAGAGCTTTAAAGAAGATAAGCGGATCCCAAAACCAGTCTGTCAGCAAATGTTTAGGGCAGGGGTTGGGAAACTTTCTGTGAAGAGCCAAGTAGTTAGTATTTTAGGCTTTGCAAGCCCATAAGATTTCTGTCTAAACTGGTCGAAGTCAGCCATTAGAGTATTAAAGCAGCTGTACACATATGAGGAATGTTGCTGGGCTCCAATAAAGCTTTATTTATGGACACTGATACCAAATTATTCTTCCTCTGGGTTCTTAACCATTTAAAAATGTAAACACCATTCTTGATCCACAGGTACGTAAAAACAGAGAGCCTCATTTGGTCTCCAGGCCTTAGTTTACCTAGCCCTGGTTTAGAGCCATTGGGTGAGGGAATGAGCACGAATAGAGCACCGAACAGTGAGGAGTTAGGGCAGGGAGAGTTCAAAGAAATAGCAAACATGGTTCCTGCCAATACGAATATATCATCTTGTTGAGGATCTCATAGATACACCCTTGAAATTGCTTAAGAGAAAATAAAGAACAACAAAAACAAAAAAACTAGCGAGTTACATAAAGTAAATAAGTCCTAATGATTGCACAGCATGCAACTGACTTTAAAAACTTGCTAAGTGGATGCAAATTAAAAAAAAAAAGAACCTGGGAAGGAGGCAGGATTAATGAGGAAATAACTTGTTAGAGGAAGTGATTGTGAGCCTGATGTAAAGTCAGCAGCAGAGGGGAAGAGAAGATATTTTATTCAATATGAAGCTTTTGTGTGTAATGCCTTCAACTAGCACTCTGATTAAATTAAGGTGAAATAGGCACTCATCCTGCCTGAAATTACACTGAATTCTAGTAGAAAGGCTACTCTTAATATAATACAGAAAATGAAATGTAAAAGTACAAATCAAGTTCTGTGGAAATTCAGCTGGAGAGATTGCTTCCAGGAGGGGAAAGGGAAAAGGCTTTTTGTCAGCTCCATTATTTGAACTTGTTCTCACAGGATGAGAAGGAAGGAGAGTTAAGGAAGTAACCAACAGCATCCCTGAGAGGGGAAACAGCATGGATAGTTCCACAAATAACATGGAAGCATTCTCCATCAAATCAGTGTGCACAGGCAAATCCCAGCCAGGACTAGGAAGTGTGTCAGGCCAGTCATTAAGCCACATTTCTTCGTTGTTAAAAGTTTGGTTAAGGAATAAACCTTTCATACTTCAACTTAATTTATAGGCCTAAAATTGTGTTAAGAGTACTAAAAAAAAATACTAGTCTTTCTTTTCACATTTTTTAAAGTCATAAAACAGTTCTTTATAGGTGTACAGATTTGTTTCTGTTCTTCTTAAGAGGCAAAAATTAGAAGTGAGCAATGTACTGAGGAAAATGAATCTTTGAAAAAACGTGATTTACATGAATAAGGAATCTTGGATTTTCAGGCTCAACTCTTGTGTTTTATCACTTTGAAGCTTAGCATGGTCTTGATTTTAGTGAATTTTCTTTGTACCTGGTGTTATATGGCCAAATTTCATTGTGGATTAAAGAACTGGTAAGTTATATTGCATACATAGGTTCCCATAAGTATTCAGTCCAAGGATTCATGCTGCCCTGGTCATGTGAGTATATACTTCAGTGCCTTCTGGAGTGGTAAACATTCACTGGCAGAAGCTAATAGTTAATAATTCACCCCTCTCTTGCTAGCTCAATGCAACCAGAATCTCTGAAATAATTTGGATTTCCACAGAGTGTATATTCCTCAGGCACTCTGACATAGGTCAGAAACATCTGACACTTTCCTACTTTCTGCATAATTAGGTCTCATGATATATTCTATATAGAAAACAACTGGATGCCTGTGTCTACTCGACACTTCTATACAGTTCTTTGACATCTGCAGAGTACCATTCTCAGTACTGAAGTTAAACTTCATACAAAATACAGCTCTTTGAGGGTTGGGAATCTTTCACAAACATGCAAAGGAGAAACTAACTGCCAAGCACTTTTTATTTAAGTACCCCGTGCAGCTTGGAAGTGACTCTTGCATTGATTTAAATAAAAGTTTAGTGAATTGCTATCGGTAGCTATGGAAGTATAAAGGATGTGGGCTTCTCTTTCATTATTTGTTATTGTACTTAGAGAAAACAGGGTTACACTAAATTATGCCAAGATCACAATTTGGCTAATTGTCTGCTAATTATTTTTCTATATTTTCCCACCTTCAAGTCAGACATTCATAACACATTATTTTCTCTCATACATAAGGTCTTCCTAAAGCTTTAATCACATAAAAATGAATGAAATATATTGCAATTTTGGCAGTTTTAAATGAACAAGTCATTCTTTTTTTCAAATTATCCTTTTATATCAACATGAGAAGTAAAGTGGAAATGTTCCTGTTCTACTGACAACACTGTTTATTCATGATTAGTTACTTATAAAATTGAATACCACTGCAAGAGTTCCATTTATTTTGTGCTAAATAGAAAGCTAAGAAAAATAAATTAATTTGCTCTTAGGATGCAAATCAAACTGGTTTTCAGCCTCTGAGCAAACAGTGTGCCTGTAATTTTCCACAAAAATCCCAAATAAACCATGATTGAGTTTTCTGTGTAGGCTCCTCTATGGCATTCTCTGTCAAAGACACACAACTTACTGTGAGAAATGAAGTTAATTTACAAGGTGGGATTTCAGTCTTTTCTTCGGTAAGCCAAGAAAACTATAGATTGATGGTACTTTTTAGTAAACCAAGAATTACATCAAATAGTGGACTAGATTTCTTCCTAATTCAGCTGAGGGGGAAAAACAGAGAGAGAATCTCCCACATCTGTCACTTGTAGTGATAGCTATAGAGAATTGGATAAAATGGCAATCATCTCCTTCTCAACATGCTAATAAGGACCACTTGATGTAGTAATTCCTTGAGACCCCCAAGGTATCAGTGCAAAGGTCAAGGAGAAACTCAACACAGTTGCCAGGGTTTCAAGAAATAGTGGAAAGGGTAAAAACAAAGTGATCTTGGTAAACCACTGCTTGGGGCTGGGATGGGGGGAGCCGAGTGTCTTCACCTCCAGCAATGACTTCCCTGTGGTATTTCAAGCTCCCACAGAACTACCTAACCCAGAACCCGGAGTTTCAGAATTCACTTTTCACTGTTGCAATTGCTATAAGAAAAAAAAAAAAAAACTAATATCCAAGAAGATAAACACAAGGCATTTATCTCCTATGTGATCTGGGTCAGACTGTCCTAGAATGCTACCTACAAAATCACCCAAGAAGATCAGGGTCCTAATATTTATCGAGTGCTACCAAGGTGCAAAGTGCTTGAATATATATTACCTTATTTAGTCCCCCCACCACACACATACACACAACTCTGAAAGGCGGTTATTATTAGCCCCCTTCTACCGATGTTGAAATAGACTCGGGTTTAGTAACCATGACAAGAGCACTGAGATGATAAGTGGTATAGCCAGGAATTGAACCTACATCTACCCAACTATATAGTTCATGCTTTTCCCACCATTGTTTGTTGGGTACACCTCTGGGCAACTACATCAATTCGTATTTGATTAGTATTTGGTTAGTATACTGGCTGTCACCAGCATGGTCCATTGTAAATACCAGACACAAATTTAGATTAACTAGTTTCTGCTTACCTTTTAGTCAAAGGGAATAAAGTAGGAATAGCATTTTCAAAGTTTTAGTATTTTGAGGCCTGAATATAATAATCTCTCTCCATTGTTAAAGAATTGCTGTTCTTGAGAGCCAGAGTAATAAAGCAGAGGGAGGAGGGGGCTTAAAGCATCATGAATAGGGGCACCTAGGTGGCTCATTTGGTAAAGTGTCTGCCTTCAGCTCAGGTCAGTATCCCAGAGTCCTGGGATCGAATCCTGTATCGGGTTCCCTACCCAGCAGAGAGCCTGCTTCTCCCTCTGCCTGCTGTTCTCCTAGCTGGTGGGCTCGCGCTCTCTCTCTCTCTGACAGAAAAAAAAAAAAAAAACAACCTTTAAATTTTTTTTTTAAAAAGCATCATGAATATATGCCAAATTAAATTCTCCTACCTATGTCATACAAAAGAGTCTCCTCAAGGTCTAGGGCAAGGTGATTTCTTAGTTCAAATCCCAGCTCTACTAATTTCTATTCAGCATATATAGTAAGCACTCAATAAATGTTAGTTATACTTATTAATAAACACCACAAGGAAAATTTATATGAGTATTACAGTATAGGAATTCCTGGGTGGAGAGGGGTTCCTGTAAAAATACATGTCACGATTTTTCACCTAAATCTGGGTATCATTTAGGCCTTATGATGGTTCTTTTGTGATGTCGATTTTCATAAAAATAAGGAACATATGTTTTAATAATTTTTTTCCTCTTTTACCATCTGAGATTCATATGGGTAATGCTTATAGGTTTTTCCTTGTAACTCTTGTAAAGAATTAACCCAGAGTTAAGAGTGGTTAAGGTATTAGTGGAACAGGTTTTGATTATTGGCCTTTGTGCTGTATTTCACTTACGCAGCTGATTCATCTCTCGGAGTTTTTTCCCTTCCCTCTTGTCTGAGGTCTGCCAAAACTAGCGGCTTACATTTTCTACCCTTTTAAGTAGTTCTGGAAGTTTGGAACTTGCGGCCCACATCAGCAAATTTGCCCTTTTGCATTTGGCAAGAATCAGAATTTGCCATGTGTTTTCAAGTAGAGGTGGGAGTATGGTGTTATAGAGATTCATGTCAGCATGACTCTGGAAACAGCGGTTGTTAGATAACCAGTGAATTGAAGCCAGAAAAGAGAACTGAGAACATTATTTCTGGAGCTCTTTATATCTGTAGATCTTTACAGATCTACAGATACATTGCTTTCCTTTTTAGGGTAAAATGATACACCTTTCAGAGGCATTATGTGTTATCATTCATTAATTAAAGGTTCAGGATAATTTGGCCTGAAATCTAAAGCACCCTAAACCCGATCTGGCTTATGCAATGTCTTTTTCTTAACTCCTTAAAATTGTAGCTGTGTATAATTGCTTGCTTTAAAGGTGGGAATTAGGTGATTGTACTCTTCCTTCCTCCTTCTTCCTCAAAACCCAGCTGAAAATAAATGTCGGTGGGCCTGGAGTAGGAGGTGCTGGGGAGCAGAGAGTAGGAGTGGAATTTAAATGTCCTTGTGTTAGCTGGTAGTGTATGTTCCTGAAAATATGGCTAGAAACATTTAATAGAATGTTATTGTATCTATGTGTGTGAATTTACAGATTACTGGAGTGAGAGTGACAAGGAAGAGGCAGATACTCCATCAACACCCAAACAGGACAGCCCTCCACCCCCCTACGATACATACCCACGGCCTCCCTCTGTAAGTTGCCAGCAGACATGTATGTAATTTGGCATCAGATTCTTTGATGATATCCCTTCATTCGTTAAAAACAGTCATGTAGTGAATTGCATGTCAGACCTCCGGATTCTTAAGAGGAAGGAAAATAGGGAGTCTAAAAGCAATAAGGGGAAAAAATATTTAAGTATGCAAAGACAGTTTAATCAGGAGAAACAGTCACCACAGATTCCAGGCATCATAAATATCCGCCCAGGTTTATTAAAAAAAAAATCCTACTTGTGTCAGAGTAGCCTTCATGGAAATATCAGCAACAAAAATATTTCCTTAGAAAAAGGTATGTAAATGGACCTTATGTGTTTCCACACTAATAAAGTTCATTCCTGTGTCCTTCAGAAAAAACTCATAAAAATTAATATTACATCTGTATTGAACACATGTTTTAACATACAGCTTTTTAGATAGTCATGGGGTCTAGCTTAATGTATGTGTTTATATGGTACTCCAGACTCCTTAAACCTGTGTACATTATTCTGCACATAGACTGTACTTTAATCTTTTAATGGGGTAAACAACTGTCCTGGTTTTCTTGGGACTATCCCACTTCATGCACATTTCCCATCCGAAGTACTAAGAGCATCTCAGTAGTGTCCCAGTTTCGACAATATATTGCATGGTTACGGCATCATAAGAGTCAGTTCTGCCTATCTTGGGACTGAGTCTTCCACACAGGAAATGGAAGCTGAATTTAGGTGACAACAACAGTCAACCTAATTATACCTCCATATTACTCTAGAGGATTTTAAATAAGAAAGGCACTACACAAGATGGTGACATAATTTGAGGCCACTTCTCAACCTTGGCTGTGCATAAGAATCACCTCTGGAACATTTTAGAAATGCAGATGCAGACATTAAATCAGTATATCTGGGACTACAAACAGCTCACTGGACTAGACTATGGACCTTCCGTGAACAGGGACCCTGTTGGATTGATCTACACATCCCTGTGGTGTAGCACAGCACTGGCACTTAGTTACTAAGTGCATAATAAATATTTCTGAAATAAACAGATAGGCACTTTTTTGACCAATAACTAAAAGGGAAGCCACATTTTTAATGACAACTTTGGATGACGAAGTCTATTACCTAAGAATTTTTCCTATATGTATACACACTTTATTTAATGCAGCAGTTCACTGAGTGCAACAGAATGCAAGGATGAGCGATAAAAATGAAATCACAAACTCAATGACAAGATATAATTTATGTCATATTTTCCCTCTTCCCCTAAAACATCAGGGCCTGAATAATGCCTTTAAAATATTTCTAAAAGAGGAAGAAAGGGAAGCTGCAGCTTCATGACCAGCTCTTTAATCACAGCAGCATGGGGATTTCAAGAAAGAAACTATTTATGTTATTAACATGTGGGAAGATAAACTGCCCCCAGAAGATGCCACTTAACTTCTCCTTTAGCCCAAGGGGCAGTATGAACTTTCGCCTCAGCCAGGCTTGTCCTGACCACAGCTGCAGCCCTGTTTGCCGTGACCACATTTGATAAACCTGGCTCCTTCTGCCAGAAAGGAGCCGGGCTGATCTGTTAGCTGCCAGAGCTAGAGTGAGCCTTGTCCCCAGCGGGGGCACCTGCAAGTCCTTTACAGCATTCACTCGATGCTATATGGTATGTTCCCAAACCTGAAATTCTGGGAATAAAATATCCCATTTTTCTTTTATGTTTATGTACTCTGAGGTGCCCATGCTCAAGGCAAATGCTAATCCCCGTCAGGGTATAATCTCATCCTGCCTATATTTTTAACTCTTTACAAAGTGCCACAAATTGAGCAGACCCTAAGAAAGAGTTTCCTTGGCGCCCATAGGAGGAGACATTCAGCTGTGAGGAAGAGGAGGGGTTCTGTCTGATTATAGGCATCTTGTTTTCACATCCAAGAGTCTCTCTCCTTGCCCTCAGCCCCAAACTCCATAAAATCCGGAAATATGAATTTGGCAACAATTGTTCACAGTTTCAAATGCATAGAGATTTTTAAAACTTCCGATTTTTGTTGTTGAATATTTCTTACGTAAGCATTCAGATTTTCTTATGCTTCATTGTAAAATTTTGCATGTTAATACGTCAGATTTTTCATGAGAGTCTGGTAGAGCTGCATTTGAACACTCCACATCTCAGTCCCTTAAAAGATCAGCCAGGGCCCAACTTTGAGATGTCTGTGAACTTGACTAGTCATTAACTTGACTGGTAAATGTTAGCAGGTGGAAATCTAACTTGTGCCTTGCTGACAGAGGTGGTCCGTTATTTCTATGGAGACTGACCAGAGGCTCCTTTCCACAGATGAGTTGTGCCAGTCCTTACGTGGAAGCAAAACACAGCCGGCTCTCTTCCACAGAGACCTCTCAGTCACAGTCCTCCCATGAGGAGTTTCGCCAGGAAGTGACCGGGAGCAGTGCGGTGTCCCCCATTCGCAAGACAGCCAGTCAGCGCCGCTCCTGGCAGGATTTAATCGAGACGCCCCTGACAAGCTCAGGATTACACTATCTTCAGACTCTACCCCTGGAGGATTCTGTCTTCTCTGACTCTGCGGCCATCTCCCCGGAGCACAGGCGGCAGTCCACTCTTCCAACTCAGAAGTGCCACCTACAGGATCACTATGGGCCGTACCCCCTGGCCGAGAGCGAGAGAATGCAAGTGTTAAATGGAAATGGGGGCAAGCCTCGAAGTTTTACTCTGCCTCGAGATAGCGGGTTCAACCACTGCTGTCTGAATGCGCCGGTTAGTGCCTGTGACCCGCAGGATGACGTACAGCCCACAGAAGTGGAGGAAGAGGAGGAGGAGGAGGAGGAGGAAGGGGAGGCAGCAGGGGAAAACATAGGAGACAAAAGTAAGTATATTGGAGATGCTTAGCCTGTGTACGCAGATTCCTAACCTTTTCAAACTGCTTATTTTAAGAAAATAGAATCTTGTTTCCTTTTTTTCTTAAAATAATGGTCTTGCTGCATAGGAAGTTAGGTATCCCTTGGTGTTTTACTTTCAGACCTTGAGTAATGTGGGGGACAAAAGATGGATAACGAAACCTATATCCCAGGACACTCAAAGCTAGAGCAAATGGTTTTCCCCAGTTACCCATTTGCCTTTTAAGGCCGATGATAGTCATTTCTTTTCCTTTTCATTCCTCCTCTTACCCACTTTCTTCTCCCTCGCATGCATCATCCCTTTGGTCCACAGTCATTGTCCCCTGAGTTTGGGTTAAGAAACTAAATGCTTCATACAGGGTGTTAGCAGAACCTTGGTTGAATATGTAAGTGAATACACAGACACACACGTGCATGCACACACACACACAACTTCCTTTTCCACCATTAAAAGATTTAAAGGAAAAATTCAGAAGGGTTTTCCAAGAAGAAATTTCAAACAGCACTTCTGTCAAGTCCAAATAGTTGAAAAAACCAGTTTCCCAAAAGCATTTATTTACTTTCTTGGTATGTATATTGATTGCAAAACTCAATTTATGTGAATCAACTCTTAAGAGAGACAAAGTCAATTAAGTAAATCCTCTGACTTGCTGGCATTAAGACTATGTTTACTAATTATCAAGTTCTTTATCCAACATCCCTTACCAAGCATCTGTTTCTAATTAACGTGCTACAACAGGCCAGAAACCCAGCTTATTTTTAAGGGAAAGGCTAAAACTCAGTTATTTTACTTAGAAAGAAAATCTAGGTTTGGCTATAAGTCCTGAATGTAAAATTACCCCGCCAAAACAATAGTGTTAAAGGGGTAGTATAAAACTGTTTGCATGTCTTTGTTCAAAACGAAGTTTGGGCCAGTTAGTGCAAATGTCCCAAGCCAATGTTGATAAAACCACAGTTGCTGGTCTGGTCCCACTAGGGCAGTAGATTTCTCTTTTTAAAGGATACAAGCAGAATATATCCATCAGCCCATTTTGTGAGAAAATGAGTTTGACTGTGGGATATAGTACTGTAAGTTCTTCATCATGACTGGAAAACAGCTCAGAGCTCACAGAGGACCAGCAGGTCAGGAGCCTCATCCCCATGTTAAGTTTGGCTTATTTAAAATGAGGCTCACTTTGGAGATGATTAACAAGAAAATATAGTAGACCTCCTTTTATGGGATGGATCTTCATTGCATTATTTAATGGGAATTCAATTATATCTTCTACCCTATATGAGTCTCTTGTAATAAAATTCATATGTTAATGCAGTTTCCACCTGAAATATATTTTAGCCATAATCTCCACGAGGAGCATTACAAAAGGTATACTATTGGTGCAGGAAATGGTAATTACCATCTGTTACCTGTCATGGCTTCCCAGCATTCACATTTATCAGAGATTATGGAAGAGTCTGGTGGAAGAAATACCTAGGAGCCACATTAGGCCTCTGTAGGACTTCTGGCAAGGATGATAATACATTTTTACCATTACGATGTTTACCGAAATTAGTACATTGTTTTCTAAAATTTAAAGCTGAGTTAGAAACTGCGTTTCGACGGTCATCCAGGTGCTGCACGATGGCTCTAACTATGTGAGGTTTGTTCAGTATTGTACAAACAGAGCAGGGAAAATATTTTATCTCTGCTATTTTAAAATAAATTGTGTTGACATTTGCACAGCCCTCTGGACTAGAGAATTCTGTTCGGAAAACATCTCATGGCCGCAGGTAGAAGTCATTGATGCTATCTTTCTCGCTTAAGCCAGTTACTCCCCAGTTCCTCCTGGCCATGAGTGAGGGAGTACTGGAGAGGAGAAGCCATATCCTCGGGCCTGAAAGACAAACCTGGGCCCACAGAGCATCCGTAGTTAGATGGCTTTCGAGTTTGCTCTTCCAGTGTCTCTTTTTGGCTGTTTGTTGACTGGATACATTTCTACCATATAGATGCACTCCTAAGTTGGTGGGTTTTTTCTTCAGTTTTCCAAATGAGTCAAGTGGGCAGTTATCCAGTATTATCCATCTCTTTCAGGGGCTCTTTTTCCGTGGAATAATTGGGATAAGGCCAAACAACCGTAGGAAATGTGTCCATAAATCTAGTACTGCACATTTTGCTTTTTGGTTCAATGTCGTGTGGCAGCTAATGCTGTTTCAGTCAGATCTGCTTCACTAGAGGTGGCTATGCACTGTCGTTCAGGATCCCATTTCTTTCTGGACATTTCCCCCCAGATCTTGCTGCTTGATGTGTCCGTGTTCTTCAGACCATTCTCAGCAGAGCAGTGCGTTTCATGGTCGCCTAGTAGATGTTTTTTACTTAACGGAATGTATGTTTGCCTTCCTAACGATCGACTTTCTGCATTACTGTTTTTGACATTTAGGAATGTTCGATTCGATGAACACACAATTTGAGAAACATCAGTTTTACAATCAGTGTTTGCAAAAGAATTTTTAAGGCCTGGTTAAGGGGTTCGTGACTGCCCCGGGTCAGCCATTAGGAACAAGTATTCCAGGCTTCTTATCCAAATTGAGCTACTGGGTGTTCTATAAGAAGAGCCCAAATTATAGGCATGAAAGAAGCTGTGGCCACGCCATCAGACCTGAGAGCACTCGCTCTGCCACCCACAGCTTTGCCGGCACCTGCGCGTGTTATAGTCGAGGCCCCGCAGTGGTGTGTATTTGGTTTGACCTACTAAAGTGAACTTGCAGTAATCCAGTACAGACCTGCAGGGGAAATAAGTTTTGTGTCTCTAGGTCCAAATATTTTTTCTCAGTTTATCAAGAAATTAAAAGTAGGAAGCGTCAGGCAAGTGGGCAGGAGTAATAGAATAAAATGTGAAAATATAGCCTATCTTCTGCTTTACAGATGAAGAACTATGTCATCAACCAAACTCCTCTCTTATCATTTATATTTACTTTAACTTTATATAGTATGGTGTATATTATATAGTGCTCACAAGTTTACAAAGCAGTCTAAAAAGTAAGGTGTACCTAAATCGGTGACTTAGATTTTTTTTTTTTCAATTTCCATGCTTATGAGGTATAAATTCAGCCTCCCTTAGGACAGTCTCCAATCTGTGTCCTCATGATTGGACTATGTTTTCTCTTATTTTGAAATTCAATCATTTAACTGAATCATACTATGATTTTGCACAGGCTGAACTCATTTTGGTGTAAAATGAATGATATTAAAAGTACACAGATGAGACCTGTCTTGTTTTCCTTTGACTGAAATTCAGCTTGCATATTAATTATCCTGACCTACTTCACTGGCATTTGGGAGAAGACAAGTAATTTCCTATTATCCCAATTAGCAGTTTCAAAGCTTACTGAGATGTGGGCCTTCTAATACCTCAGTTAAATTAAATAATAAATTATGTCTGCCTATGCAACTTCCATGGAATATAAATCATAAAAGTTGGACAAAATATAAAAATATACTTCATTCAGAAATCATCTGCCATAACACTGAAATACTGTTTTGGTTAATGCAGTTTGAAGTCTACTTGGAATAGCTCTTTTCTTAAACTGTCTAGTACACTGGACAGTTTAGATGAGGTTTTTCAAAAGCTTTATCCTTTTAATCCTGCTGATTTCCCTCTTTACTAGCCATACATTCTCGGTGCTTCCATGTACTTGATGAAGTTATAATGTGCTCTTTTTCATTGTCTTAGAGATAAACTACCAGTATTCTCACTTAATCTACACATTTATTAGCTTGCTCTTAGAAATCTAAAGCAAAACCCCGGGTGTTTTTGGTTTCGTTTTTGTTTTTTCCAGAAGTGGAAGGGCGGATAAAATCTGTCAGCTTATAGCTACGATGCACATTAGGTTACCTGCCGAGATATTGACTAATGCTTCCAAAGTGGGATTCTCTAAGAAATGTATTTTTAAGTAATTTTTTTAATCTAAACCTCCTTTGTACAACATTGGTAAGTTAAGAGCTATGTAAAATATGCAGCTCAATGGCCTAATATCTTGAATTATTGAGGCAGAGAGGATGGATAATGACTACCAATACAGGGCAGAAGAAGATAGATTAATCCTCTTCAATCATTTTAAGGGTCCTAGAGTAATTTCCTGAAGAGTCTTTAAAAGCTATGAATTTTATTTTTAAGAACATCCAGGTACAAAGTATGTGGGCAAGGGGAAGATATTCCTAGAATATGAAACTGCATAAAAGGAAAAGAGAAGGAAGTTGAAAATAAAAGTGTTACAGCACATTTTACTGTTTTACTGATTGTTGAGATCAATTATGCACAAAGAATTTAGAAGGGCATAATCACCACTAATATCTTCAGTTACAGTTCAGGTCTAAAGGAAAGAGATGGAAAAGCTATATGAGGAATATGAATAAAAAGACGTGTTAAAATCAGAGAAAAAAATAGCAGAGAACCCTAAATACGACACTTCTGTAAAGTTTAAGGGCATTATGCTTGGCTTGTTATGTAACAAGTATATATAAAGAACACAGAAAAATCTAGAAAGTATTAAACAAATATTCTCTTAATACCATATTTTCTTGAAGATTAGATATAGAGTCTAACTAAAATGCCGATACTGGTTATAGTTTGGATTTGTAATGACACCTCACTCAGTTGTTGACTTAAATGATGAGGAAAAATTATTATCATTGAGAAGTTCAGAGGTGGGTTGATCTGGAGTGAATTTTGTGACTCTACTATGTCAGGCCTCTCAGCTAATTTTCTGTAATGCCAACAGCTCTAGGCATCACTTCTTACAAGACAGCGTCCCGAGAGCCAAAGACCAGCATCTAGGGCACCCTAACTTTAGTCCTCTTTGTAGGAGCAAGGAAAAATTTTCCTAGATCCTTCCAACAGACTTAGCTCCCTATTGCATTGGCCAGAGTTGCATCATACACCCAAAGAGCAAGGGAAATGGAATAACTATGAGTAGTCGAGACTAACCTTGATTT